CACATTCATTTTTTTCTCCCTGGTGATCAATGAGCTGATTGGATTTTTATATTTTCCATTTTGTTTTGTTTTTAAATAAGTCGTTTGCTAGTTTCTGTTGCCAAAACCTTCTGATGAAACTGTCTATCACTGACTCTTCAAATATCGGTGCTATTGTGCCTTGGGGGAAGAGGCTGCATCTCTCCCATGACTGTAACTAGAATAAAAGATAGAACCCGCCTCTGTTCTTACTCACAGAAGGCGGGGCCTGCAGAGAGCCAGTCTTAGCAAAGAGGAAAGCACAAGAAAGCAGCTCTTCTGTTACATTTTTTTTTTTCCTCCCGAATTTTCCTATCATGTCCAAGGATCTCCCTCGGTTTCTCAGATCTACCTCCTTGGGAAAGGATATTGGCCGCAGTGATGGCAAAGGTTTGAGCACAGCTCATGAATCGCTGCCTCTGCAGAGTCGCATGCAGTAGAGACACCAACAGGTAACACCCAATCTAGATGGTACCTAAAGGTATTTTTGCAGGGCACAGTGGCTCATGTCTGTAATCCCAGCACTTTGGGAGGCTGAGGCAAGGGGATTGCTTGAGGCCAGGAGTTCAAGAGCAATCTGGGCAACATAGCAAGACCCAGTCTCTACAAAAATTAAAAAAATTAGCCGGGCGTGTGACATGTGCCTGTAGTCCCAGCTATTCAGGAGGCTGAGGTGGGAGGATGGCTTGAGCCAGGGGATTGAGGCTGCAGTGAACCATGATGATACCACTGCACTGCAGCCTGGACAACAGAGTAAGAACCTGTCTCTAAAAATAATAAAATTATAAATAAATAAAAATTTAAAGATATTTTTATTTTACAGAGACTTCAGAATTTTAACACTTTGAAAAAAGGATTGGCCGGGCGGAGTGGCTCACGCCTGTAATCCAAGCACTTTGGAGGCCAAGGCGGGCAGATCACCTGAGGTCGGGAGGTCAAGACCAGCCTGACCAACATGGTGAAACCCCATCTTAATAAAAAAAAAAAAAAAAAAAAAAAAGAAAAGAAAGAAAAAGAAAAAAGGATCAAGGTGAAATGTTTACTGAATAATGAATGAATTGTATAATGTGCAAAACTTTTGAGATAATATTTTTTAATGTTTGAAAAATGTCAGGTGGGCTGGGCAGGGTGTCTCACGCCTGTAATCCCGGCACTTTGGGAGGTCAAGGCGGGTGGATCATGAGGTCAGGAGTTCGAGACCAACCTAACCAACATGGTGAAACCCTGTCTCTACTAAAAATACAGAAAAAAATTAGCCAGACGTGGTGGCACATGCCTCTAATCCCAGCTACTCAGAAGGCTGAGGCAGGAGAATCGCTTGAACCTGGGAGACAGAGGTTGCAGTGAGCCAAGATCATGCCACTGCCCTCCAGCCTGGGCAACAGAGTGAGACTCCATTTCAAAAA